TATTAAAAATTAAAATAACATTATGAAATATTAGTAAGTAGTAAAAGTTTCTAGTTCCTAGTAGATTACCGCGTTATTCACCCTTGTTTTTGTTTGATTCTTCTTGAAGTCTGCCGGATTTATTGACTTTTATAATTACTGCTATATGATATGTAGCCTTTCTCAATGAACGTGCTATCTAATGCAAAAAGAATTTTTCAAATCGGATTAATAGTTTCTGAGATTAGTGCGTTCAAACAAACAAACAAGTAATCAAACGAACGAACGAATAAACAAACAAACAAACTCTGCCTCTTTATAATATTAGTATAGATTAAACTGTTTATTCTACTAAAATTTTAAGTAAGGTAGGTTCCTAATGTAAAGGGTAATATTTTATAATAGGCAATTTTATTATATACATATGTAGTTCGCCGTCGGCATCATTGTTATGTAAGAAATTATAATATAATACTCATAATAAATTATACGATTATTATAAAAAATCAAATAAAAACAATGCGAATTAAAATATTATTCTATGTAATGTGATTATGTACTTATGTATGTTCTATGTACTATGTAGGATATAATATTCTAATAATATAACTCTATGTAGGATCCGAGAATGTAAATAAAATCACTTTATAGCTTAGAGCTCGTCGACTATTTATTTATTACTAGCAGAACCCCGCATTTTGCTTACGTTAACACTACAAAATGACTCTAAAAAGATAGGTTTCATATAAACTTTCATCCCCTATTTTTACCCCTTTATGGGATGAATTTCGAAAAATGCTTAAACACGTATTAATTTAATTGTATTGAAGAGCATTAATACAAAGTTTCAAGTAATTTTGATGATAAATAATTTTTGGGTTGTATTATAACGTGTTGTCCCGTGGGAATGAGATTATTTCTCGCGGTAAAAAGTAGCCTATGTCACTCTTCAGCCCTCCAACTATCTCCACACAAAAAATCACACCAATTCGTCACTCCGATTTGACGTGAAAGAAAGACAAACAAACAAACACACACACTTTCAAATTTATAAGATTAGTATGGATTCATTAATCATTATTATTACTAATTCCTTGTTGAGTGTTTGTGTCACATATTGTTTATACAAAAGTGTAAGGGATATTAATTTAATTCAATTGTTTGTTTTATACGCATTTTTTTGTTTTAACTAATTGTTAGTTCTCGAGATTAGCACGTTCAAACAAACAAGCAAATAAGCTCTTCAGTTTTTTATCTCAGTATGGAGTACAGATTAGAACCTCTTTATCTTGAAGCCTTTACTTTTAACTTGCATTTTAAAACATAACATTAACATCCCATATTAAAAACCGTTCATTAATCATAATATATAACTATAAAGTGAATAAAAATCTCAATTCTTCCCACGGCCATATAGCCAGGTTTACAACATTATAAAGCGGCCGCGTAACTGAGATAACGCGTACAAATGTTTATCTATTGATTCCTTCAAAACAATTACCGTGTTTGTGTTACCACCGTGCTGTTCCCATACCGGAGATTAGACCAACGCTAGAAAGTACTACGCAAGACCTTTCCCCTCGATGTTCATAAGCTACACGACTGAGATGCGAACCGTTGGTCGCCTACTGATTTGCTAATCAAACCAATTTTCGACATGATGCTACCTAAATTCGATAAAGTTCGGTAATTTTTTGTTGATTGGTCGCAATATAAAGTGATTCTAGCGATGAGGACTGTCTTCCTTAAATATATATTTGAGTTGCACCCGTGAATTGAAAGAGACATTTAATGTAGAGCAGTCGTCCCTGTCAGGAAACTACATGGAAAAATATAAGTTTCATATTTTTTTATGGATTGACCAAAAAATTTAACTTCCAGTAAAAGAAAATGTTTAATTCATATTTTATCGCCATTTTTATACAACATATCTTTAGATAGACATAGATTTAAGTAGCGTGCGACCGACATGAGACGTGTAGTCGACACGTCACGTCGTGTACTTAGTGAGATTATAATGCAGATCTAGAGGTATATTGGTGTACAATTACGTATAAATATCTCCTGGGCAGTAGCCCAGTCTCACAACCAGTGAGATTGGACGCCGTACCCGAAACAGGTCAGATTTTTTTGTTTTTATAGTGTACAAGCATTGCCCCCGGCTCCGCCCGTGTTTAGATGACCAAAAACCAAATTTCTAGGTTTTACATATTAGTATACTCTAACATTGCAGTTTTTGTATTTTTTCTCAGAAAAGAGAGAGATATTTTCCCGCGGTAAAAAGTATCCTATATATTGACCCGGATAACCAGTTACAATCATATCTTTCGTCAAAATCCGTCCACTGGTTTTTCTGTGATGCGGTAACAGACAGACAGACAAAAACTCTAAAAACTATAGATTCGGCCTCTGTATCGATAATAATGTTTATTTCAATAAGATTTTCCAAAAAATATTTAATGTACAGATTCGACTTAATTACAATTTTATTATATGTATAGGTGAATGTGAATATTAGCCTATTTTATTGTTAGAGAAGTATTATAGACAAGTTTTATCATTATTATTACTATAATTTAAAAAAAACACACTAAATTACGAATAGTTCATTTCGCTGAGTTTTCTATCAGTTCTTCTCAAAGGGGATTGAGTCAGCATGTTGGTCAAATACAGATTGGCGGACTTTGTTTTAAGCCATATTGAAAAATAATTTAAAAATGAAAATTTCATAAGAAAGAGGTCTAAGCTTGAAATCGCTCAATTCCTAGGTGAGTAGATATTCAAAGCTTAAGCAAATAAAAGCAAATGGTACCTATATTTTTTTTTTGTCTGTAATAATATAATATTTGAACTAAACAATGTCTATCGGTCCAGCTGGTTAATGCAAATTATATTTTTTTTTTATTAAAATCGATAGTAATATTGTAAAGAAGTAAATAAGTAAGTAAAATTTGTATATTTGTATGTAATAATCTTTGACTGATCTGATTTTGATAATTCTTTAATTTGGAAGCTACATCGCATAGTGTTATAGGCTATTTTTTATTCCGATAAAATTCAATACTTATGTTCAATGGCTTCTAGGAGTGCTGTTTGGGCACTATTTACTTTGTCAATGTCATGTAGAATGGAGAAGACACATTATATATAGAATGACCGGTATAAAATAGAAAAAAAAACTGATTACATGTAAAAATGGAGAAATTCGTTGTAAAATCAGGACCCACAACAGGGACCCACAACAGGCAACACATAAATTTGTGTTTACTAACAGACCAAATAGTTTTATTTAAAAAAATTAACTTAAATCGAAGTTGAGAAAACTGGACGTTCAGTTGCTATATCAGCGTAATTCTATTTGTAAATAAATAATAATCAACGTAATATAATCAACAAACAGATTCTTTCGCTAATCAAATTATGTAAATAAACAATAAAATAATTATTATATAATTGTCGTAAATAAACAAATCAGGCTTTCACCCTTGATGGCTAACCTTGAACTGTCAAAAGTGACAGCTGTCAACGCGACAGCAGCTGTCAGACGCTGTGATGGAGCGCTGAGTGATTAATTAGCGCGGCTAATTGATTTGACGTAATGTTTTAACTCGTTTAATTTTTAAATGTAGCATAGCCCACAAATCTATCGAGTACCTACTTCATGTACTCAATAGCTTTCAATCGCTTATCAAATAATTACAGATAGTTCTTTTTTTTCTCTTATAATTTTTTTAAGCCACGAAAAACAAATACACTGGCGTGCAAAATAATCGGGCCACCCTTAATTTTTAGCATAATTTTTTGTTGACAATTGTTTGGTGAAAAAAAAACACCGCAAAGGTAATTAAGGAGATTAGACGCCTTTGTTTCCTTCAAAAAAGTTCGAAGTCGGTGTGCTTTGGCTAAGTAATTAAAGCCTACCTTAGCCTTAAATACATACCTAATCAAATATTTTCGAAATCGGTGCCAGCCCATACAAAGCAAAGCACACCGACTTCGAAAATATTTGATTAGGTATGTATAGTAAATGAAAACTACCAATCAGTTATTTTTTACTTTTTAGTGCTTTTGTTTGAAGTCGGTTTTTATTTTTTTGTTAAAAAGTTTTTATTTTCTATTTCATTCACATTCATAATATTATGATATTATACTTTATTAAATTTATCACTTTATATATTGTAAAAAAATAATATATAAAATTGTATATACATATTACATATGTAAGTAGAAGAATTTAAGTACAAATTTAAAAAAAATCAACATAGTAACAAATCATGCAAAGTGAAGTAAATAATGTAACAAACAAACGATTTATCTAATATATATATATATATATATATATATATATATATATATATAATAAATGAATAGAAAAATACCTACTCATCGCTTATTTGTAAATAATTAAATATTATATTTATAAATAACTATAAATATTTTTACTGTTAGCTTTTAAACAGGATATTACTTGAAATACGTATAAAATAAATCTAATTATATTAAGGTCATTCCAGATTGTAGATTATTTGAAGCCGATAAGATTGTGGCGTCGTAAAAATCACGAAGATATAATTTCGATGTAGCTGTCATTATCGCGCGTTATCTTTCTCAAGTGTCGACTTCCTAAATCAGCTATTTTATAACTAACTTTCACCTGCGGTTTCTGTCACTGATAACTCACAGTATAAGGACTCGGTAATATCTTATTTACTTATGATATCTTGTTTATGTTACGAGTAATATAACAAGTAAATTCGGACAAACAGACAAAAATATTTTAATATTAGGTAAATTAGAGGTATCAGATTGCGAGTTTAATTGTTTCTATTTGCTTCATTGGAATAAAGGCAGATCCTCATATCCTATCTATACAGATAAATAAAATGGAAGTGTCTGTTTGTAATGTCAAAATAACAGCTTTTTAGTAAATGTTTATAGAATTATTGGTTGATTTTCTTCTGACCGATTCCAGCCACGGCGGCCAATCTCATTGAGACTAGCCAACTGCGCAGGAGATATTATAGTGCACAAATGTACGCGCAGACACAAGTGCACTCTCTATCCCTGTCATTCTCATATTCCGGTGGGACGTCTGCTCGAGACGAACAGTGAGAGTTAAGGCGCAGGACCGACGGTTTTACGTGCTCTCCGAGGCACGGGGGTGAAACACCGCTGACTTCCCAACTCCGGACTATTACTGAAGCTACTTTACGGGACTCGAACCCAGGACCTCCGGGTGTGCAGCCGTACATGCCACTACACCACCGAGGCAGTTATGGAATTATATACAGTACTTAATACTTACGAGAAAAATGTAACTTTTAAAATTTTTGCCTGTCTGTCTGTTTGTTCTTGCTAATCTCCAAAACAGCTGAACCGATTTCGACGGGACTTTCACTGGCAGATAGCTGATGTTATAAGAAAAACTTAGGCTACTTATTATTATTATTTTAATAAAAAGCAAAATTAAAAATTTTGAAAAAAGCTACGATGATTAAAAAGTAATTGAAAAAGGATAAAATAATTTAAAAAGCCTCGACCTAAAAAATAAATATATCGCGAGATGAACTCAAGTATATCCGTCTCGGGCTGCGATCACTATTTTAAATTTCATTGTAAATAATAAAAATTAGTATCATCATCAAATTCTAAAGGTCCTCAATGCAGGGGCACGGCCTACTCGTTAAGGGTGTAAGTAAAGCGCTAAAAACCTAAAATTATTCACGTTACTATAAAACTGCAAAACTTGTTCATAATGGCAACCCCCGACGGATATACTTGAGTTTATATCGAGTTATATTAATTTTTGAAGTCGAGGGTTTTTAAATTATTTTATCCTTTTCCAATTATTTTTTAACCGTCATGGTTTTTTTCAAAAAAAAAATTTTTTTAATTAAAATAATAATAATAAGTAGCCTAAGTTACTTCTTATAACATCAGCTAACTGCTATCTATCTATCTCACGTTACATTTGTTTTTTAAGTCGAGGCACACACCAGAAGCATAGCCAATTTATTTTTTAAATGATACTTATTAGTATCGGTTAATAATCGGTATTTTTTTTAATTTCATATCAGCAACTACCTTCAAAAAATATTTTGAAAATATATTAAACATTCTATTACAATGTTAATCTATATCTATGCTTGACGCACGTGTATGACTAGTGAAATTAAAAAAAAACATATCTCTGATAAGCGCGTTATCAAGTGTTATCACAGCGCTTATCACTTATCTAGTTTGTAACAAAGAATTAAATTTTAAACTTATTCTACGAGTATCTAGCGACAACCGCACCGTCAAATTTTGACGATCCCAAAATATTTTACAACGATTATTCTAAAGTTGAAAAGCTCCAAGATTTACTGTAGTAAACGTTGATGTAAATTTTATTTAACTTATGACTTTCTTGGTACGAATGCATCCTTAGGTCCTTAGGCCCTTTACAGTAGCTTATCTAGTAGCATAGAAATCTGTCTAGCCGCTTCAGCCTGAAATAGCAACAAGCAAACAATCAAACAAACAAACACAAACAAACAAACAAACAAACAAATCTTTACATACAATAGTAGTATGATTTAAAATTTTGTGAAGAATTTAGCTATTTCGTAGTTAGTATCACGTAAGTTGTAAAGTAATGAACAAGATATTTGAAACACAACATTTTATGTATGAGAAACTCAGCAGGAAGGACAAGTAAGTTAATTTATGTATCGTCGGTTCCGTATCACTAAAGGTTTAATATTAAAATTAAATATTAACGCTGTCATTTTGAACTTCAATGTTTATTTAATCGATAACAACCTTAAGTTTGCATTTAATAGGCCGCTAAACAAACGCGTGTGACCGAAAATATCCTATATCTCAAAAAAAAGTGTGTGTGCTTATGTACGCACGTAAGAAGTTATACTTCTTTGGCGTAACAGAACAAAAATAGCTAAAAATTTCATCCCGTATACCACAGCTCTATATTTGTAAAAGGAATGCAGCTAACTTCATCATGTCTCTTTTTGGCTGTCGGTGTGCGCGCGCATCTTAAAAATTTTACTCTCATAATTTTTTCCAAGCGTGCCAAAGGAAGTATAACTTCAAAAACTGCTTAAATTATCTTTTATAAAATTTCTTTAAGAGTATGAGAAAATGAGTGAAAAATAAGTATGTAATTATATACCAACATTTTATATTTAATCATAAAAACAAGAATCGCAATGAACACGCATCTTTCAATATTGATAGCCACAAATCCATCGGTATCTGTTACCAAAGCCCATAAGCGTATAATCCCAGCGATATCAGCAATATAACGTTACTAGAGAAATATGTAGCGTATTTTTTCTATATCAATTTGTAGAAAATATAGATTTTTGGCTAAAAAAACGAACAAGTTACGTAATAGTACAATTGGCAATATGTTCATGGAAGACTATCGCTAAATAAATATGAAATGCGACAATCAAAGTAGATAAAGTATATTCAGATATTCTACTATCTTTGATAATAATAATAATTTAAACAGACAAAGGTCGTTCAGATTACATATCAATAGATAATTTTGTTTATTTATATTTCTGTATGGCAATTAAAGGGATTCTATATCAGCATTTCCAGAACAAAGAAACCGTATCGGTCGTCCATAAAATGGCAGTGTCACCGAAAAATAATATTTCAAAATTCCATCGACAGCATACATAAAAACCAATGGGACGGGACAAATGATTGTAGACTCTATATCGATTAACTTAGAGTTCGTATCGTATTATAGATTCTCTCAATGCTTAGTCAATTAATATGAAAAAAATCATCTTGTCTTTCTAATTACGTAGTGATGGAGGCAGTTGACAAGCGCGGAGATAAACAAATAAGAATACGATATTTTCCGGTCCGAAAATAAAAGGAACATGTAAAAAACGTGCAATGTCAAAGATTTATCATGATCGGAGTTATGAGCTTTTGGCGTTCGATACGGTTGAGATGCATATTGGAGCCGTATAATTTTGTATTGTATTATCACATGTCTGTCGGCGATTTTACTGTTTTCATATATTTACTTTAAGTAAAAGGGCTTAAAACACATGATTTACTTAGAAAATGAAGACCAGGACTAGCGCGGTCGTTTAGGAAATCGAGTGAAGCGGGTTTTTTACTTTCTTTTTTTTGACGTTCCATGCTGGGTCTGACCCCCCCATCAATACAAGGGGGATCAGGCCATAGCCCACCAGGCTGGTCGAGTGCGGGTTGGCGGTCTTCACATCCTTGCTTGCTAGGTTCTCTCTAACAAGGAGGTTTTCTCACGATATTCTTCTTCACCGTAAGGTATATACTTTGTTATTTACATACATTATATATTGTTAAAAGTGTGTATAACTATAACTGAATATATAACTGGTTATTTAAATAATTTTATGTATATATTTATTTATATAATTTTCGTTGTAGGCAAAAGCATAATAACATCAAATGGAATTAATCGGGTGAATGGTTCTAAGCGTTAATTTGACTGCGTACATGATTAAGGCAGGTTAGTTTTGGGGTTCTGTGGGATATTTTTTTACTATTTGATGCACCCCGTTTATACGGACCCCGTTGAAACAATCAAACATGACGACACGTTTGGCTCAGTTTGTCGTGACTCTAGTTGCTGTGTCAGTGGTCGCGGGTTCGAATCCCGCTGGGGGCATTCGTTTGTGTGATGAGCACGAATATTTGTACTTCAGTCATGGGCGTTTATATTTATAATATGCATGTATTCAAAGTTATATACATATATCAACTATTTGGTATCTCAAAACACAAGCCTCGTAGCTTACCATGGAACTAGATGATGCTGTATGGTAATATCCCAACAAATTTATTTTATTTTTATTTAATCAGGTCTATATATAAATAGGCAAAGACAAAACAGTCCAGTACCTCTTTTTCTCTGTTCGTCAACCGATTTTCTTTTTCTTTTAATATCTATTGACGCTAGTGTTATCGATTAAAAAAAATCGAAACTCTTAGTTTATATATGTGTATTTTCTGTGAAATGCTTTACAACAATCATGGTCACGGGAGAAACTACGATTTTAGACGTTACCACTGCTATAGGTACTTATTATAGATAGTATCTATCTATCCTTAAATATATACAATCATTTAATAAAAAGAGGAAATAAATAATAAATTACATATAATTTAAAATATAAATAATTTTAATTGGTTTCACTATAGTTATTCAATTTAAAACTATTTAATTTGGCTTTATATTGTTTTGATATTCAGAGAAAAAGCTAACATTTGGTGTAGTGGTGCAACTTATTATTTTAAAGTATTTTTATTACAATATTAATATTCTAATATGAGGTTTCGATGTTATAGTAAAACAGCACTATTTCTGATTACAGGAATTTTTACAACTTTCTCTTATTTAAACATACAAAAAAATCAAAATAGTATAACATAGTATGTGTTCTAGAGTAATCTAACATTTTACTTCTTCTTTCTTGGAGCTATTAAACACAAGACTACTATAAATATACTTATAAATATAAATATATATATATAAAAATAAATATAAATATATATATATAAATATACTTATAAATAAAATTTATCAATATATATATATTTTTAAGGATAGATAGATACTATCTATAATAAGTACCTATAGCAGTGGTAACGTCTAAAATCGTAGTTTCTCCCGTGACCATGATTGTTGTAAAGCATTTCACAGAAACTACAAAATTAAAATCAAAGTAAACCTAAGGAGGTTCATCTATATCAATACGGAACCAAAACACATCGTGTATAGTCAAGGATAATGCTGTGTTTTTTATGATGTAATCCAATCCGGCTCATTTACGAGTTTCGTGTATTGGTGTTGTAAGCATCGAGGCGCGCAGACACGCGCTAAAGTATCGGGTCTCTATACAAAAAGAAGGCATAAAAAATTAACGAATTCCTAAATAACTTTAATTTGTTTCTAAATATGAGTTTGTATATATTTAAATTGGGAAAATTTTTAGTTACTTTTTTGAAGTGAAACTTCTTTAGAATCGTTGTGATTTGAAACTCGATGCAACGGAAATGCGACAGTAAAAAGAGACAAACATATAAATATATAGGATTAAGCCGGCGATAGAATGAGATGGAATACATTGCGATGATGCCATGGTAACCGTTGTTATTTGATAGAATACATTACACAGGAAGTCAAAAATAATAAAATTCATTACTGATTATTATGTAATGTTTATATTTATGTCAAATAAAA